CCCCGGAGCAAGCGAAGCTGGCCATCACATCCGGGATCGCGCCGGAGTCAGCTTCGGCTAGGGATTGGACGGAGTCGCGGACCGAGTGATACATGGTGACCCAGGGCGCGCAGACGCCGACGATCGCTTCGAAGAAGTCGCCAGTGGCGGAGGGGCGGCGGGCGGGGGGGGGGGCGCAGCGTCAATTTCGGGGCACGTCCAGAGGGCACGCAGGGCGGCGAGCGCCTCCCGTGGGGTTTGGGGTGGCCAGCGAAGAATACGCTGGTAGGCTTCCCTTGGGGTGGTCAAGGACGGCGGCCCCAGTGCACGCGGGCAGGGGGGGCTCGCGCCGATTGCGGGGCAGGGCCAGGCGCGAAGTCGCGCTGGAAAGAGGGGTGCTAGGCACGGAGCTCCTACGCAGAGCCGCGACGGAGGTCATTGGGGGGGGGGGCGACTCGCCGCTCGTCGTCAGGCGTGGGTGCGGGCGCCTCCCCGAGAGACGGGCCAGAGGATGGCCATGCTGGCCCGGAGATCGGAGCGCGGGGCTGCGCTGGCTTCGAGGCCCCACTCCAGGAGAGCGCGCGGCCCGCAGTCGGCGAAGGGCCCCCGCCCCTGCGCGCCGGCAGACACGAAGCAGGCGCGGCGCGCCCGAGCGAGCGCCGCGACGAGGATGCAGGGGTCGTCAAGGATGCCGACGTCGCCAACAGAGTTGGCCCGAACAAAAAAAAAAAGAGCAAATATGACGTCCCGCTCGCTGCCCGATGGCCGCCGTCGGCAATCTCAACGCGCAGCAGTTCCAGGACATCCAGGACCCGATTGGCACAGGCGAGAGGTACAAAGCCCGAGCGATCGGCATCAGCCTCACAAGATCACGGAACGCCTACACGACATGGGCTACGAAGATGTGGAAGCAAGCCCCTGGGTTGCTCCACAAGCACGTCAAGCCTCCCGTCCAGCCGAAGCCCGCGCATACGGACTCCAACGGCCACACGTACGCCACGCCAGCCATCATCATGGACAGGAGAGCCGACGATTGGGAACGTATTTGGAGCGACCCCTCGGCTGGCGAGTCTGAGGTGCTACGTAGGCTAGACGTCGTCATCAACAGGGCCAGGCAGGAGGATGCCGAACCCTTCCAGCTTGATGACCTGGACGCTGTTCTCGCCCGTCAGAACCCCAAGAAGAGCCGAAGGGGTAGACAACTTGGGGCCGATCGAGGCCCAGCGACTTCCACGACCAGGCCGAGAAGAACTGGTCCACATCCTGAACGATTGCGAGAAGTACGTTATGTGGCCCTTCCAGTTCTTCGCAGTTGTTGGCGCTGTAGCGCCCAAGCCCTAGGGGGGCGACCGCGTCTTGGGGCAGCTCCCATTCGTGATGAAGGTGTGGTCGAAGATGCGCTGCCCCCTATGTGAATCCTGGTGCGACGAGCTCGCCGAGTTCTGGGACACAGCGGTACGCAAGAGCAGCGCATTGCAAGCTTCCTTGACCAGGGCTGCAATGGACGAGTGCTGCTCCATCCTCGGGATCACTGTCGGCGCGATCCTGCTCGACCTGGATGGAGAGTTCTACGACAGCATCTCCATGTCCTTGCTCTGCGTGGCATGCACGAAGCAAGGGTTCCCAACCATCACTTTAGCCATGGAGCTGCAGATGTACTTAACCCCGCGATATCTTCGAGAAGGACAGTGGCTCAGCAGGGCTACCGCCGTGGGGAAGAGCGCGGTGGCGGGCCCCCCGCGCGGAGAGAAACTCGCCAAAGCCATGCTCGGGCCGCCGTTGCAGGCTGCCCACCAGCGATGCCAGCTCTCCATCATGATGCCCACGTTCGTGGATGACACGAACATCAGGACGGAGGGCACTGAGAGCAGGGTGGAGAGCACGCTCGTCTCCTCGGGGGCCTTCGTCGGCAAGGCCATGATCGACGTAGGCCTAACTATCAGCCCAAAGACGGTAGTAGTCACCACATCGAGCAAGCTCACGAACCGCATCGTCAGCGGCTTGAGGAAGCAGGGCATCCCCGCCAAGGCCGCGTCGACGGCCACGGACCTTGGTGCAGGCGTGTCCGCTGGTCGAGCGCGTAACAGGCGCAAGGCTAATCAGCGGATGGCGCAGGCTGCTCGCCGAGCTGCTGCCATCCAGAGGGTGCGCCGCACCGCCCGCCTGCAGCGCATCTCGCGCGGGCTCTGGGGCACTGGAGCCCTCCCGCAGGGCACGTGCGGACACCAGCACTACGGCGTCCCGCCTACGAGATGGTGAGGCTCCGACGTCAAGCTGGGCAAGCAGCAGCGGGAGCTGGCCCAGGCAGGTGCCTCACCACCACTCTCGCCATGGCGTGCGGCGAGGACGACCCCGCCAAGAGCATCCGCAGGCAGCAGATCGGCTCTCGGCTCACGCTTTGGAGGCGCTGCCCAGAGTTGTGCCCGCGCATCTGCAAGACGTGGGGCGGCTTGGCTGCGCGGCTTCGGGCAGCAGGGCAGCGCAAGTGGCGACTGGTCAAGGGGCCAGTCGGCGCCACCGTCGCCACACTCCTGGACCTCAACTGGGAGCCCGTCTCGGCAACCCAGTGGGACACTGACGCGGGCAAGAGCTGGATAACCCCCTCGGCCGAGGACTCCAGCTTCACGGACATGAACGGCGACTACTCGCTGATCATCACGGACATCCAGGATTCGATCGACCGCACCCTGTGGCAGAACGCCTCCAAGCACGAGGCGGGAGGCGACCTGCCCAGCGGCGGAGACTTCCTTCACATTCGACGGGAACAGGACCGCCTCACCAAGCTAGGCGAGTTCGACCAGGTCGCCCTCAACAACGTGGCCTGCACTGGAGGGCAATGGCCGCGAGAACGACTACGGGCTGCTGGCTACGACGCCGACTTGGCTTGCCCAAGGTGCGGGTTCCACACGGAATCTCTGTTTCACAGAATTTGGACTTGTCGGCACAACGTCGACCACAAGGACTACGCCGACAGCGACCACCTGCTCGGCAAAGCCATGGCGAACCACGAAGCGTCGCCTGCATTGTGGCTGCGCGGCGTCCCGCCGACCGCCGCCACTGTGCACCTTGTACGATGAGGAAAAAGAAGCTGTTTCTGAGTTCGGAGCCCTCGAGGAGGTTCCGAGAGATGAGCAGGGCTTTAGAGTTTTTTCGGAGACGGCTTGGGGGGAGAGCACAGCGATGACAGGCGTCGGCGACGTGCGGGCTTCGGTTTCCTCGCCTTGGGGTCTGGGTCCAGAGCTCTTGACCCCATCTTCGGCGTCTCGTCTTCCCTGGTCGGCCGAGCCCAGACTGTGCCCCGAGCCGAGCTCTCCGCCTTTGCGACCCTCCTCGAGAGGGTATCTGGCAACATCCGATTTATCACAGACCACTACCCCCTGGCCCAAGTCTGGTCCAAAGGCGTTCGTCGTCATCTGTCGTCGGTTCCGACCAACACTGACCTATGGACCAGGACCGGAGCGGCCTCGGTAGGTAGAGAAATTCAGGTTTGTTGGGTCCCCTCACATGTAGGAGAGGACGAAATTCACGAATTGAACCTCCAGCGAGTGGTAGGTAATGAATGTGCTGATGTGTTGGCGGGGATGGGGGCCCAAGCGGGTGCCAACGCTGAGTGCCGCATAGGGCCCCTCCCCCACACTGATCTTGTAGATGCGGAGGCCGCCCTCACCCGTCGTCGGGCGCGGAAACCTCTGGCCGCGTGTATCCAAGCCGATCCCTGGACCGCGTGCCGCTTTGAAACCCCCGCGGGGCCGAGGCTTCCTGTCCTGGTTCGGGCCCTCCAGGCGAGCGCCCACGACTGGCGCAGAGTTGGGCGCAAGTTTTTCTGTAGGGTTTGTTCTCAGTTCGAGATCCGAGAGTCCATTCGCGCGGGGACCCTCGCCCAGTGTCGGCCCAGTCCTGTCGGGACTGGCTTCTCCCCCCTGAGCGGCCCACAGACGGTCGCAGGGAAGTTGCTTCACCCGTCCCACAAGCTCCAGTTCTGGGGGCGGTATGGTTTAACGTTTTGCTCGGTGTGTGGCAAATCGGCCACTTCTGACCCACGTTGGTTTGTCGAACGGTGCACGCCCTCCCCGAAAGGTGCCCAGAATCTCACGAGAATTCAGAGGGGCCTGTATCCCAACGTTGGCGGACCACCAAAGCACGTGGTGGATGCCGAGCTGTCCAGACTCGCCGATTAACACGTCGGGCTTTCCCTCCAAGTGACTACCGTTGTCATTCATGCCACGAATCCCACGAATCCTCTCCTCCTCCTCCTCCTCCTCCTCCTCCTCCTCCTCCGCCCCTCCTCCTCCTCCTCCTCCTCAACTCTTCCTCCTCAACTCCTCCTCCTCCTCCTCCACCTCCTCCTCCTCCTCCTCCTCCTCCTCCTCCTCCGCTGGTTTTCCTTATGCACAACTACTCCTTGTCGCGCCCCCCCAGACGTGTGGGCACAGCGGGCTGGACATTTCGCCCGAGACTTCCTCAAACATTGTGGCCCTGGAGTTTGAAATTCGCAACAGCTTCAAGGATGGAGGGCGGGTGGTTTTCAACACGTGGTTCTCGCCTCAGCGCCGCGCACGTTTGTCTTAAAAGTCTGCAGCAACTTCAAGGATAGTGGCTACCGCTTCAGTACCGCACGCATTCGTTTTAAAAGTTTGCAACCGACTCCAGGGTTCGCACGATTGTCCCAGGAATGATGCTCTGGCACGGCTCAAGATTGGCAGGACGCCGCAGGCACGTTGATTCAAGGTTCTGAAATCCTAGAAATAATGTTCTGGCACGATTTAGGATTGTCAGGACGCCACAGTCTCGTTGATTCACGGCGCTGAATTCCCAGGAACTGTTTTTTTGACACGATCAGGGGCTCTCAGAGGTTTGTCTTCCGCTTCAATGTGGAACTTCCCGCAATGGAAATCAAGTACGAAGATGGAATTGGGGGAGGGCGTCTTGCAATAATCCTCCTCCTCCTCCTCCTCCTCCTCCTCCTCCTCCTCCTCCTCCTCCTCAACTCCTCCTCAACTCCTCCTCGCTTCCTGGAGGGCCTGGGCCGCAAAGTTCGGTGGACCGCGTGCGGGGCTGCCGCTGCGGTTCCGCGACCTTGGGCTTCGCGGCCTCCTGTGAGGAGGAGGGGAGCCCTCCCTCCTCTCCCTCCTCTCCTTCTCATTCCTCCTTTCCCTCTTCTTTTTCCTCCCTCCTCCCTCCCCTCCCTCCTGGCTCTCCTCCCTCTTCCCTTCCCCTGCTCATTGTCCGTGTCGTTTCACTCCGCCTAGTTATCTCCTCCTCCTCCTCCTCCTCCTCATCCTCCTCCTCTTCCTCCTCCTCCTCCTCCTCCTCCTCCTCCTCCTCTTACACATATTGCTCCTCGTCCCCCTCTCACCTCCCCTCGCTCTTGCCTCCAGCCTCCTGCCTCGTGCATGATCCCTGCACGCTGCCCTTTGCAGCACGTTCTTCCTGGTCCTCCCCGCCCCCGTACGCTCGCTTTTGCCATTCCTCTGAATCCCTCCTCCCCCCCTCCTCCTCCTCCTCCTCCTCCTCCTCCTCCTCCTCATCATCATCATCATCATCATCATCATATCATCATCATCATCATCATCATCCATCATCATCATCATCATCATCATCATCACCATCATCATCATCATCATCATCATCATCATCATCATCATCATCATCATCATCATCATCATCACACCACCACCACCACCACCACCACCATCATCATCATCATCATCATCATCAATCATCATCATCATCATCGTCATCATCACCATCACCATCACCATCACCATCACCATCACCATCACCATCACATCACCATCACCATCACATCATCATTCATCATCATCATCATCATCACCATCACCATCATCATCATCATCATCATCATCACATCACCATCATCACCATCACCATCACCATCACCATCACCATCACCATCACCATCACCATCATCATCATCATCATCATCATCATCATCATCATCATCATCATCGTCATCATCATCATCATCATCATCACCATCACCATCACCATCACCATCCCATCACCATCACCTCACCATCACCATCACCATCACCATCACATCATCATCATCATCATCATCATCGTCATCACCATCATCATCATCATCATCATCACCATCACCATCACCATCACCATCACCATCACCATCACCATCATCACATCATCACCATCATCATCATCATCATCATCATCATCATCGTCATCATCATCATCATCACCATCACCATCATCATCATCATCATCATCATCATCATCACCATCACCATCACCATCACCATCACCATCACCATCACCATCACCATCACCATCATCATCATCATCATCATCATCATCATCATCATCATCATCATCATCATCATCATCATCCTCCATCGATTCCTCCTGGTCCCTCTTCTTTTCCTCCCCGTCCCCTGCCTCCTGCTGCTGCTCCTCCCGAGTCCCTGGAAGCCCCGACGGCGAGACCGCCGTCCGGCGTGCCCTGCCCCCCCCCCGAGGGCCGGTCCCCCCCGAGGGCCGGTCGGCCCTCGGGGGGATGTGATCAAGCTTGTGAGCCAACTGGCCCCTGGAACGGTCGCCCTGGGTTCCTTGCTGCGAGGTGTATGATTACTCGAGCTGCGGATGCCACGACAATGGACACCCTAACAGTCCTATCATTGAATGGAAGATGTGCTTAAACGGTGTAAAGCATGATCTAACGCATGTTTCAAACATGTTTTTTTTTCACATGTTTAAAACATGTTTGAAACTTCTTGTAGACCTCTGGAAATCATTTGGCAGCACGCTTCCTCTCCATTAATCGACTTCCACAAAACTAGAACCATCGCGCGCGCTTCGCGCGAGCTCAAGCTCTAGCTCGGCTGGATGGTCGAACTCTTACAGTAGGGCTTCCTGTTGGGCTTCTGGGGGCCCAGGGCTGGAAATGTTCGTTCGGCCATCGCCTGGACCGCTGAGCTCTTGGGGGCCTCTTTCAGGCCTTCTGGATGCTGTTTGAGGCCGCTTGGGGGCCTTTGGGGGCCTCTTGGGCTCTCTTGGGGGCCCCTTGGGGCCTCCTCGGAGCATCCTGGACTGCTTCTTGAAGTCGTCATGGGACCTTCTTGGCATGTCTTCGGGGGCCTCTTAGAAAGAGTTTTGAAGCCTTTTGAGTGCCCACTTGGGGCCTCTTGGAGCCTCTTTTGGGCTTCTTGGGGGCCTCTTAGGGCCTCTTGGGGGCCTCTTGGGGCTTCCCGGGGGCCTCTTGGGACCTCTTGGGGGCATCTTGGGGCGGAGAGCTTGATTTTTCAGTTCGCGTTCCCTCTCTTGGGCCCCTCTTGGGGCCTTCGTGGGACCCTCTTGCGCAGTCTTGGGAGGCTCTGGGGCCGTCTCGGGGCCGTCTTGGGACCCCCTTGGGGGCCTCTTGGGGCCTCTTCGGGGTCTCTTGGGGGCCTCCCGGGGGCCTCGTGGAGCCTCTTAAGTGCATCTTGGGGCGGAGAGCTTGATTTTTCAATTCGCGTTCCCTCTCTTGGGCCCCTCTTAGGGCCTTCTTGGGACCCTCTTGCGCCGTCTTGGGCGGCTCTGGGGCCATCTCGGGGCTCTATGGGCCGTCTTGGGGCCCTCTTGGGGGCCTCTTGGGCTCTGGGAGCGGTTTGGGGAGCCTATTGGGCGGTGCTTTAGCGCCAGAAACACGAAACAGCTAGAATGCACAAAACATTGAAAACATATATGCGAATCAACGATTTTGCCCTCTCCGCGCGCTCTTGGGCGGTATCTTAAAGGCCTCTTGGGGCGTCTTGGGGGCCTCCAGGGCAGTTTAAAGCGCATCGTGCGACGTCTTGGAGGGCCTCGTGGGGCCTCTTGGGGGCTTCCTGGGGGCCTCTTAGGGCCTCTTGGGGGCATCTTGGGGCGGAGAGCTTGATTATTCAATTCGCGTTCCCTCTCTTGGGCTCCTTTCGGGTCCTTCTTGGGACCCTCTTGCGCCGTCTTGGGCGGCTCTGTGGCCGTCTCGGGGCTCTCTTGGGCTGTCTTGGGGCCCTCTTGGGGGCCTCTTGGGCCGTCTGGGAGCGGTTTTGGGAGCCTCTTGGGCGATGCTTTAGAGCCGGAAGCGCGAAACAGCGAGAACGCAAACAACATTGAACAAAACAATGGAAATCAACGATTTTGCCCTCTCGGGGCGCTCTTGGGTGGCATCCTAAAGGCCTCTTGGGGCATCTTGGGGGCCTCCGGGCAGTTAAAACGCATCGTGCGACCTCTTGGGGGCCTCTTGGGGGCTTCCCAGGGGCCTCTTGGGGCCTCTTGAGGGCCTCTTGGGGCGGAGAGCTTGATTTTTAATTTCGCATTCCCTCTCTTGGGCCTCGCTTGGGGCCTTCTTGGGACCCTCTTGCGCCGTCTTGGGCGGCTCTGGGGCCGTCTCGGGGCTCTCTTGGGCTGTCTTGGAGCCCTCGTGGGGGCCTCTTGGGCCGTCTTGGAACGGTTTTGGGAACCTCTTCGGCGGTGTTTCAGCAACGGAAGCACGAAACAGCGAGAATGCGAAACATATATGAAAAAAATGAGAATCAACGACTTTGCCCTCTCGGGGCGCTCTTGGGCGGCATCTTACAGGCCTCTCGGGGCGTCTTGGGGGCCTCCGGGGCAGTTTAAAAGGTATCGTGCGTCGCCAGAGACCCTATGGACGGCGTCTTGGGGGTGTCTGCAGACCGTCTGGGGCCGCCGGGATTGCTGTCTGAGGGCTCCTCGGGGCGATTCTAGGCCTCCCTGAGGCGGGCCGGTGCGCCGGGCCCCACATTTGCGGTCTTGGTCCTGCCCCCGGGCCCCCGGGCCCGGTCCCCCGTTATGTGTATAAGCAGGTGGTAGTGACAGCTGGGAAAGAGAGAGAGAGAGAGAGAGAGAGAAAAAAAAAAAAGAGAGAGAGAGACAGAGAGAGAGTCAGAGAGAGAGAGAGAGAGAAAGAAAGAAAAAATTATCCCGGCAAAGCAACCTAACAGCGATGTGTAGAAGCATATCTGAAAGCATTCCCCTTAAGATTCAGATGAAAATCCAGTTGTCGAATTCTGCTGTTCTCGCAGTCGTATTCGCATTCGCGATGACAGTCGCAGCGGCAACGGCAGTCGCAGTCACAGCCTCAGCCTCAGCCTGCCTCAGCCTCAGCCTCAGCCTCAGCCTCAGCCTGCCTCAGCCTCAGCCTCAGCCTCAGCCTCAGCCTCAGTCTGCCAGCCTCGGCCTCAGCCTCAGCCTGCCTCAGCCTCAGCCTGCATCAGCCTCAGCCTCAGCCTCAGCCTGCCTCAGCATCAGCCTGCTCAGCCTCAGCCTCAGCCTGCCTCAGCCTCAGCCTCAGTCTGCTTCAGCCTCAGCCTGGCCTCAGCCTCGGCCTCAGCCTCAGCCTGCCTCAGCCTCAGCCTGCCTCGGCCGCAGCATCAGCCTGCCTCAGCATTCAAAATGTGGCCCAGGAATGGAGTTCTGGGAACTAGAAGAACACGAAGTGGCCTACAGTTGGCTCCGGGCATTCAAAATCATGCCCAGGAATGGAGTTCTGGGAACTTGAAGAACACGAAGTGGCCTACAGTTGGCTCCGGGCATCCAAAATGTGGCCCGGGAATGGAGTTCTGGGAAGTCGAAGAGCACGAAGTGGCCTACAGTTGGCTCCGGGCATCCAAAATGTGGCCCGGGAATGGAGTTCTGGGAAGTCGAAGAGCACGAAGTGGCCTACAGTTGGCTCCGGGCATCCAAAATGTGGCCCGGGAATGGAGTTCTGGGAGGTCGAAGAGCACGAAGTGTGTGACTGTTTGCGAAAAGCGAGTGCGGCGGCAGCCGCGGCGGCAGCCTGTCCGGGTCCCGCCCAGACCCCCCTGAGGAGTCATGATGCTCTCTTTTGAGACCACTAGAAACCTATCAGCAAGAGCTGTTAGGTAATAATTATCCCGGCAAAGCAACCTAACAGCGATGTGTAGAAGCATATCTGAAAGCATTCCCCTTAAGATTCAAATGAAAATCCAGTTGTAGAATTCTGCTGTTCTCGCAGTCGTAGTCGCATTCGCGATGACAGTCGCAGCGGCAACGGCAGTCGCAGTCACAGCCTCAGCCTCAGCCTGCCTCAGCCTCAGCCTCAGCCTGCCTCAGCC